TTTTATACTCAAATTAATCGATTAGGCTCAATAAAATCACATCAAAACTCATTAAAAACGTTTAAAAACTTGGGAGTAGGGTTAGCAGAGATGAAACTTGCATGAGACTTGTTGAAAAACATGTAAGATGCAATGCCAAGGTAGATCTCTAAGCCAAAATCCAAAACAAACCGAAATCCTGCTCCAAAAGCCCTTAAACTCTTCCAAAAATCAACTTAGGGTTTGTAGAATGTTTGGTGGCTGCTAGGGTTTCAAAACTATGAAATAATACTGAAAATCTCATGAATGAATATATATATATATATATATATATATATATATATATATATATATATATATATTATAAATGATATATATAGAAAAACTTATGTAAACTAAGTGGACGTCCACTAAGTTTCTTAGTCATTGATGATCACTTGATTGAGCTACATTCTGGATGATCCGCTCTGTAAAACTTGATCTACATATTCTAAAAACCTAACACACCAATATTGGGTGAACTCGTCATGGTTTGACCTCCGTCGAGCCATGTAAAAAGTTCTATTAATTCAAAACCGTTAAAATTGATACGAGTGGATGAATTGGTCAAACCACGACGGTTCACCGCAAATTTGGTTGTTAGGGTTTTAGAATATGTAGATCAAGTTCAACGGAGTGGCATCCACAATGTAGCTCAATCAAGTAATCATCAATGGATAAGAAACTAGTGGACGTCCACTTAGTTGACATAAGTTCTCTCTCTCTCTCTCTCTCTCTCTCTCTCTCTCTATATATATATATATATATATATATATATATATATATTATATATATATATATAATATATTATATATATATATATATATATATATATATATATATATATATATATATATATATATATATATATATATATAACTGAGAAATGAACATATGCCTCAAATGAACCGAAACCAAGTTGAAAAAGGAAAACATAATACATGCTTCGCGATCGACTGCGACGGTCGACCGGACTGCGGTCGACTGGACTGGAAATTTTTAGTTTCTCAAGATTTTTCCTTTGTGCATGTTTTCGTCTCGTTCTATTCTCATGTATGGTCTTGTTTATACTCAAAACACTAGTTAATGTACTCATACACTATTTATTGATATTTATCTTAATAAATATTCACTTATAATAATTAATCACACATTAATTATATTATCTCAAATTTTCGGGGTTTTACATTGTTAGAGAGATTAAGTGCTTTCAGGAGTGTAATATGGGATTGAGTGATTGAGAGATTTCAATTTGTATTTTTCACAATTTAGTAAAACTTTTCTCCTCATTCGCTCGTGGACGTAGGCTACAAGCCGAACCACGTATATCTTTGTGTTCGCGTGTCCTTGATATTTTTTCATACTTTTGTGTGATTGATTTTAGTTTATTCTCGGGTTTGTCATAACAACTAGATTTTGTGAAATTAAGCTTGCATGCAATCTCTGTATACGCAAAATTTCTTACTATTGTTACATAATCATGTTTAGTTTGGTTGATGTATTGAACTTTATTAGGAATTATAATATTTTTGTGAAGTTAAGAACTCGAGAATTAGAAGCATTTCGTTTATTTTAGACTTGCCTTTGTTACCTTAAACTTGACAACATTAACATATTTGATCATTTGATGATGCTTTTTGGAATGATTATTATAGTCATATATGACGTCGACTAACTTTTATTAAGAAATTATCATACTATATTTTTATATTAGTCATTATATTTGGAATGATTATTATACTCATATATGATTATTATATTTGGAATGATTATTATAGTCATTATATTTGGAATGATTATTTTTGGAATGATTATTACAGTCATATATGACTAACTTTTATTAAGAAATTGTCATGCTATATTTTTCATATATGACTAAATTTTATTATAGTTATTATGTTTAAAAATTTTGCTGATTCTAAATATTAAAGTTATTATAAACTGTTGGTATTTATAAAATATCTAAATAATTAATATCTAAATAATTAATAAATAATATAACTATGCATTACGTTTTTTTTTTACATTTTTTAACCCTTAACAGGAGGTCAGTCGTCACATAACCCAATTTCATTATCTTCAGCATTAATTACATAGTATTTTATTTGATTTTTATAAGAAATATACAACAATCCAGAATAAAATTTGCTATTTTTTTATATTATGGGAAAATATATAATACTATAATGCTAGCGTTTTACCACTTCTGTTTATGATAAATGTTTGGTCGCTGGTTTTGTCTTTGCGTGATGCAGGGAAATTCACTTTTATTTCTCCCTAAAAAATTGACTCATTTGTGCATTCTGCTAATAATGTTGTTTTGAGGGAAACTTGAAACTCGTAGAATTTTTTTTTGAGAATACTAACTCGTAGAATTATCTGTCTATAAATAATCAGGTTGTCTTTGGTTTTTATCCCTTTCGTTTCCTTTTGACTCGAAGGCCTTCAATTTTGCTTAATTGCTGCGAAGTTAATTGATCTGTGAGAGGATTTGAACCCTCTGTTGACTCTTTTGGAATTGTCCTTGGCCATTTAGAAACCTGAAGTGATGAAGGAAATAACCAGGGAGAGAAAGATTTGAGAAGAAGGAAGAAATTAGAGTCAAGAGAAGATGCACTTTAATTATGAGTTCCTTGATCTTTACAGTCTTCCCTTTATATAGCTTCCAACTGAGAACTTAGCTTGTGCACGTGCACATACAGTGTTTGTGCAAAACTGAACTAACAAACTAACTGTACTGACGTAACAAACTAACTAATCCATTTATTACACATAAGTCCCTGAACTACGCAACTCTTGTCCGATAACCATGGTCTTTTGCAAATCAGCCCAGTATCAGTCTAAGGTCTCACATGTCAGTCCATCTTTGCTCAATCTCCAGCTTCAACCTTCAGCTTCAGCACCTGTAATCCAATCTTCACCTCCGACTCCTGCAATCCCATCTTCAACTCCGATGGCCATTTCCTTAGCTTCCCAGCTCTCATCTTCAGTCTCTATTAAGTGGTTCATTTCCTATGAATTCCCTGTATTCCAGCACCTGACAAATCCCTCCCACTTAAATTGGACCTTGTCTCAAGGTCAAAAGAAGGAAATTTCTTAACCAGGTCCCAATACGGTTCCCAGGTGGAGTCCAAAGAGCTGCGTTGTTTCCATTTGATGAGAACTTCAGATACCAATCTGTTTCCTTTGATAATTGACCTCCTATCCAAGATTGCTTCAGGTTCATCAACAATTTCTGTTACATAATTGGGAACATCAATCTGGACAACAACATCAGTTCCAATCCTTTTCTTCAATGTGACACATGAAAAACTTGGTGAATTTTTGCCTGATCAGGTAAATCCAGTTTATAGGCTACTTCACCAATCTTCTCTAGGATCTGGTATGGCCCATAGAATTTTGGGGAGAGCTTGTGGGTTTTGTATGAAGACACACTAACTTGTCTATATGGCTGAAGCTTAAGAAAAACCCATTCTCCCACCTTAAAGCTCCTGTAACTCCTATGTTTGTCGGCATATCTCTTCATTTGTTCGGCTGTATTCTTCAAACTATGTTTAATGAACTATAAGGCTATGTCTCTTGAGAAAAGGACTTCATCCACTGCCTCAACCCTGCAGCTCTTGGGGACATATGAAGGCAAGGAGGGGGAAGGCCTACCATATACTACTTCAAAAGGAGTAGTGTTTGTAGAGATTTTCCATGTAGTATTATACCAGAATTCAGCCAATGTTAACCACTTACTCCATTCTTTGGGTTTGTGAGAACAAAAGCATCTTAAGTAACTCTCCAGATTTTTGTTAGTAAACTCAGTTTACCCATCAGTTTGTAGGTGATATGTTGTACTAAATTTCAGCTGGCTTCCTTGTAGTTTAAACAATTCTCTCCAGAATAAACTTGTAAAGAGGGAATCTCTATCACTGACAATAGATTTTGGCATCCCATGCAACTTGAATACCCCTTCAAAAAATACCTGAGCAACTGTCTGAGCAGTGTAGGGGTGTGAAAGAGGAAAGAAATGGGCATATTTGGATAGCATGTCAACCACTACAAAGATAACAGTTTTGTTCCCACTCTTTGGAAGATGAGTAATAAAATCCATCGATAGATCTTCCCAAATATAATCCGGAATGGGGAGTGGCTGTAAAAGTCCTGGGGATGCTACATTTTCTCCCTTAGCCCGTTGACAAACATCACAAGCTTGTACATATCTCTGAACATCTTTCTTCATTCCTTTCCAATAGAAAGATCTTCTCAATCTGTGCAAAGTTCTGATAATTCCAGAATGACCTGCTATAGGACTGTCATGATGCTCTTTAAGAAAGGATGTTTTAATATTTTGAGCTGTAGGACTAATCAGAAATTTACCTTTGTAATAATACATCCCTTCCTTATTATGATATTTGTTAGCCTCCAATTGTCCCTTGTATAATTTGGTATCAAGCTCTGTAAAATACTCATTTGTGGAGTACATATGCTTGATTTCTTCCAACCAATCATTGTTTAGGGTGGTAATGGCTGAGGCTTCAATTTCCTGAGGTAAGGTATCTTCTTCAGCTTCATGGATTCTTGACAACCCATCTGCAGCTTTATTTAGTCTTCCTGGCTTATATTCCACACTGTAGTCATAACCATGGAGCTTAGCAAGCTATTTATTCTGGATTCCAGTATGAATTCTCTGCACAAGTAGATACTTGAGACTTTGATGGTCAGTCCTAATCACAAAATTCCTTCCCAATAGGTACTGTTGCCATCTCTTTGTAGAAAGGATGAGGGCTAAAAGCTCCTTCTCATAGTTTGACGGTGTAGTGTTCCTACCCTTCAATGTAGAGCTAAAATAGGATATAGGCCTCTTATTTTGCATCAATACCACACCAATCCCTAAACCAGAAGCATCACATTCAATGATAAAAGTTAGATTAAAATCTGGCATTGCTAAAACTGGTGGGTGGGTTAAAGAAATCTTTAAGGCTTCAAAGGCTTTTTCAGCATTTTCCCCCCAGATAAAGGCTCCTTTCTTCAACAACTATCAATGGCTGAGCTATAACTCCAAAATTCTTGATGAATTTTCTGTAGTACCCTGCTAAATCTAGGAAGCCTCTCAATCCTTTTAATGTTTTAGGTCTTGGCCAGTCAACAATAGCTTCAATTTTCTTTGGATCCACCCCAACACCTTCCTGAGACACAACATGCCCCAAATAATCCACTTGTGTTTGTCCAAAGCTGCATTTAGACATTTTGGCCACTAGTTTATGATTTCTCATTATCTAAAATACTTGTCTTAGATGAGACAAATGATCATACCACCCTTTACTGTAAACCAATATATCATCAAAGAAAACCAAAATAAACTTCTTGAGCAGGTCTTTAAAAATGGTATTCATAAGGGCTTGAAAAGTTGAAGGAGCATTTGTGAGTCCAAAGGGCATTACCAAGAATTCATAGTGGCCACTGTGTGTCCTGAAAGCAGTTTTAGGAATATCTACTTCATACATCGTTATTTGATGATAACCAGATTTTAAATCCAGTTTGGTAAAATATTTTGTGCCATGTAGCTCATCTAATAACTCATCTATAACAGGGATAGGGAATTTATCTTTGATTGTAGACTGGTTTAAAGATCTATAATCAACGCACATTCTCCAACTCCCATCAGATTTTTTTACCATGACTATAGGTGAAGAAAAAGGGCTGTTACTAGGTCTGATAATTCCCTTCTTAAGCATCTCTTCCACTTGTTTTTCAATTTCATCTTTTAAGAAATGTGCATGCCTATATGGTCTGATGCAAATAGGCTTGGTTCCGTCTTCCAGTTGAATTTTTTGATCAATACTTCTACTTGGAGGAAGATGGGGCAACTCCTGAAAGACAATTTGAAATTCCTTTACCAAGTTTAACATGTCTGCAGGCAGTTCTTCATGTATTTCCTCTGTTGTGCATGTTTGTAGGTCCACACTACATAACTGGATTAAAAAACCCTGTTTTTGTTCCCTGAATGTCTTAGAAACAGCCTTGCTATCAACCAGCTACAACTCTTCTGGAAGTACCCCCTGTAGAGTTCTTTTAGCTCCATCACTCACAAATGTTACCTGCAACTTTTTAAATTTCAAAGTAATATCTTCAAGAGTCTTCATCCAATCAGCTCCTAAAATAATCTGGCTACCCCCCATGGGCATCACTAACAAATCAACCTGAATTTTTACCCCTTGACATTCTAGGGATACTTCATTGCAAACTCCACCACCTTTAATCAATTCTCCAATGGCAACTAAGACATCAAAACTATTAGATTCAGTTACTAATAGCCCCAATTTCTTTACCAACTTAGAATTTATAAAGTTGTGGGTTGATCCAGAATCTATTAGGATGCTAACAGCCTGATTCTTGTAATAGCCCACCACCCTGATAGTATGAGAGTCATTAATACCACTGAGTGCTTGTACTGAAATAAAGGGTGCTCCCTTCACCAAACTCTAAGCTAACTCTATAGTTATGTCCTCCTCTCCTTCTTCACCATCATCAACTTCATTCTCCTCTGAATCCCCTTTTAAAATGCCTTCTAAAAGAAACATTTGCTTCCCCTTGCACTGATGACCTCTAGGACACTTTTCATCACAGGTAAGGCATAGGTTCTGGCTTCTCCTCCTTTGTATCTCTTCAGGAGTTAGCCCTTTGAATTGAGAAGGAGGTTTGGGGTTTTCTCTCACAGAAGGATAGGGTGATGAACTAGTTGGTACAACTCCTGTATTTGAAGTATTCCAATTTACCCTAGATTTTTTTTCATTGTTGAGTTTATCCTCAAACAGTTTGGCCAAGGATATTGCTCCTTTCAATGAGGAAGGTTTGGAGGCTGTTACTTCATACCTCAATTCTTCTTTAAGTCCCCCTATGAATTTTTCCAAGATATGTCTCCTAGAAGGTTGATCATCTAGTAAGCTCAAAGTTTGCTCAAACCTTCCCAGATAATCCCTGACTGTAGTAGTCTGTTTCAGGGTTGAAAAAGCATCATAGGGTCTTGAGAGTTCACTTGGCCCAAATCTGGTAATAATTTCTTCTTTAAAAATTTTCCACTGACAGAATTCTTCAAGATTCCTAGCAAGCCATCTATACCATTGCAATGCTTCTTCTCTCAAATAGAAAGAACAGACCTTAACCCATTCATCACTCTTGATGTCATAATACTCAAATATTTGTTCAGTTTGCTCTAACCAGGCTATGACATTTTCATTTCCAGAGAAAGAAGGAAAGTCTAAACGGAGTGATTTGGGTTGAACCAACTTTTGATTACTGAAGAAAGAATTTTTATGGGAGACATTACCAAGATTATAGACTGGTTAGAGTTCTCCATTGGAATCCACCCCTTTGTTTGGTTGAAAAGCTCTTGGTGTCTGTTCTGAACCCTGTCTGCTCATTCCTCTGATGCCTGGTCCCAAAAGGCCTGTGTCATTCCTTGGTTCTAGGCCCGACATTCTCCGCTCATCTCTAGCTCTTGATCTTGGAACTTCTTGACCTTGCTCCTTTGATTGCTTGAGTTCTTGGACAAGATTTTGGAACTGAGAAGTTATTTGAGAGGATATCTGAGAAGATAACTAGGTAGTAAGTTGAGAAGATAACTCCTCCATTCTTGAAGATAGCTGGCGAGTAAAGAAGACTTGTTGAATAATAGCTTCTTCAACTTTAACCAACCTCTCTTCTGGAGTTGCTTCTTCCTAAACCGTTACCTCAGAATCAGCCATGGTGTCGTCAACACCAGCTTCAGATTCCAACATAATCTGCTCTGATACCAATTGAGAGGATTTGAACCCTCTGTTGACTCTTTTGGAATTGTCCTTGGCCATTTAGAAACCTGAAGTGATGAAGGAAATAACTAGGGAGAGAAAGAATTGAGAAGAAGGAAGAAATTAGAGTCAAGAATTTAGAAGAGAAGATGCACTTTATTCATGAGTTCCTTGATCTTTACAGTCTTCCCTTTATATAGCTTCCAACTGAGAACTTAGCTTGTGCACGTGCACATACAGTGTTTGTGCAAAACTGAACTAACAGACTAACTGTATTGACGTAACAAACTAACTAATCCATTTATTACACATAAGTCTCTGAACTACGCAACTCTTGTCCGATAACCTTAGTCTTTTGCAAATCAGCCTAGTATCAGACCAAGGTCTCACATGTCAGTCCATCTTTGCTCAATCTTCAGCTTCAGCTCCTGTAATCCAATCTTCACCTCCGACTCCTACAATCCCATCTTCAGCTCCGATGGCCATTTCCTTAGCTTCCCAGCTCTCATCTTCAGTCTCTATTAAGTGGTTCATTTCCTACTGAATTCCCTGTATTCCAGCACCTGACAATCTGTATCACGTTTCCTTTTTCATCTTTCTTCCGTAACGATTGAATACCTAATCTGACTTGTTTACTTTGAGAAAAAATGCTTGGAAAGTAAATATTAATCTAGCTATATTTTGTTGATTTGTCGCTTGTGGAAAAATATCTGAAGAAAATATTGTATATATTCCTCTTCTATTTTATTATATTTATTTATTCATTTTAAATTGCTATGATTATTGGTTATTATGGTTCATTTATTTTATTCTTTGACTTCCTTATTGAACCTAATTATTACCAAAACATTTTTTTAATTAAAATCTAAGGGAGTGTTTGACAACTTCCCACTATTCAGATTTGTAGTGCTTAACCTAGTTAAGGGATCAAAATGTTCTTCGGGTAAAATTGGGCTGACTCTAAACTAGATTTTTTTTAGTTCAAATTTGGGCACTTATTTGAAACAGGATTGATCCATCTCCTGTTTGATTTACAACTAACCTAATTAAGGTATTAATCTAGCTAAGGGGCAAGTAGCCAAACACTCCCTAAGGTTATACTTACAGCTATACAGATGATATGCTAAGAGCATTTCCCATGATTTCCTCTCCGCATTCTTTTATGTCTAGTAACCTCAAATTAATACCTAATTATAGAATAGAGATACCAAGAGCTTTGACTTTTGGAGCCAAAAAATTGGCCTTCCTTATGAACATTTAGTACCATTTCGGTACATGTTATCATGTTTTCGGCAAGAGCCATAACTATTGCGTTGTAATTTTTTATGGACCATAGTCATTTGTTTTCTCTGATGACAAGAATTCTTGACTTAAACTTATGGTAGAACTAAAGTTACTTTATCTACTTGTAACTTTATTTTCTCGAAGGAGCAGTTGAAAAGATTTTGTAGCATCCTGAGGTTAGGGTACTATTCCTTCAATGATTGTAGTACTAAGTAATTCTTGATGAGCTCAACAACTACCCCTTAGTCAAGTTGCCACCAAGGACTAACCTTTCATTAATTCATTTTTCTTTCGACTTTCACTTTCTAACTTTCTGAATGACTTATTTAGGACAATTGAAATGTAAAATTATTGAGTAATCTACTTCCTTTTAAAAGATGAATCCCCTTAAAGTTAAAGGAATAGTTATGGACTTGCAAGAGATTCACTTGTCCATATATTGTTTTGTTCCATTCGATCTTTTAGGTCCCTACTCACCTCGACGGTTATGTCATGATGCCCCTTGAAGCATATATGCAATATATAGACTTCTGTAACCATGTCTATTTGCTTGCTTGAAAATAATCTCTTCTACAAAAGAAGTGGAATAGCTAATTCCCAAGAGATTCACTTGTCCATATATTGTTTTGTTCCATTCGATCTTTTAGGTCCCTACTCACCTCGACGGTTATGTCATGATGCCCCTTGAAGCATATATGCAATATATAGACTTCTGTAACCATGTCTATTTGCTTGCTTGAAAATAATCTCTTCTACAAAAGAAGTGGAATAGCTAATTCCCAAGAGATTCACTTGTCCATATATTGTTTTGTTCCATTCGATCTTTTAGGTCCCTACTCACCTCGACGGTTATGTCATGATGCCCCTTGAAGCATATATGCGATAGATAGACTTCTGTAACCATGCCCTATTTGCTTGCTTGAACAGAATCTCTTCTATAAAAGAAGTGGAATGGCTATATGTATATATATATATATATATATATATATATATATATATATATATATATATTTATATTTATATATATATGATAACTATCATTTAGATATTTCTGTCTAAATTTTTCAGGATCATTCATTAACGGAATATCTTCTTGTTCTAAATATAGAACTGTATCAGAAATCTTTTTCGAAGTCCATTCTACTTCTTTTTTGACAATAGAAGTAAAGAGTTCATGATTATCTTCCTTGCTTATTATATCATTGATGCCTTTATAAAAGGCTTGAGAGGGGCTACTAGCATTATTCTTTTTGGCAATTGTTCGCCATGAATATGGTTGTATAGGAGTATGACTCATGTCTGATGGCTGGCCTCTCCCTGTCCTGAAAAGGAGGGACTACTCCGTCACATGGGAACCCTGTAAAAATTCACGGGTTAAAAAGTTAGGAATATGATTATTTTTACCTTTAATGTATTCAATTTTAAATTGATACATAGCTAATTCAGCTTGCCATCTAGCAAATATTTGTTTTGAAACAAGATTTTTAACATCTTTTTCTATAATGCTTTTAGTTGAACTACAATCAACACGTAATAAGAATTCTTGATTTAATATATCATCTCGAAATTTAGATAAACATTTGATAATAGAAAGCATTTCTTTCTTCATTGTAGAGTAGTTAATTTGGGCTTTATCCCATTTGCTAGATGTAAATCTGATTAATTGTTTCTTATTATTTTGAGGTTCTATTTATTTGAGAATACCTCCATATCTAATATTGGATGCATCTGTTTCTACAATTTTAAACCAATGTACATTTGCCAAATGTATGTATGGTAAACACATAACATTAGCTTGGATTTTTCTTACTACAGTAGTATGTTGCTCAATCTATGGTTTAGCATTTTTCTTTAGCCTGCTATATAGTATAGCAATATCCTGTGCAAGATTTTTATAATAATCTGCAACATAATTTAAAGCACCTAAAAATCTTTGTAACTATATATTATCCGTTATTTCATCAGGAAAATTTGAAGCAAATTCAACACTTCTATTAATAGGAATTATTGTTCCTTTTTCTATATTATGACCAAAAAATCTAATTTGGGGTTGGAATATTTTTATTTTTGGGGCAAATATTGCTAACCCATTTCGTAATGCTAAATTATGGAATACTTCTAACATGTTGATCGAATGTTTGTGAAAATATTAAAATATCATCTATATATAATAAAATGAAATTAGTATAAGGAATGAATATCTCATTCATAATATTTTGAAATTCAGATGGGGCATTTTTGAGTCCAAATGACATTATATTCCATTCATAATGTCCAAATGACATTATATACAACAAAGGCAATTTTATACTTATCTTTTTCTTCTATTTAAATCTGCTAATATCCTGATTTTAAATCAAATTTAGAAAATATTTTCGTATTATGAATACGATTTAATAAATCTCTTTTATTTGGAATTGGATATTTGATCCATTTAAGGATATTATTAAATGGTTTATAATTTATAACTAAGCGGGGGATTCCTCGCTCTTGTTCTACATGTTTATTTACATAAAATGCAGTACAGCTCCAAGGAGAATAATGTATTTCTATTTTACATAATTCAATATATTCCTAGTAGAGAATGTATTTTTGTTTTACATAATTCAAGATATTTCTTATTCATTTGATATGGTCTAGCCTTATTCATTTGACATGGTCTAGATTTTGTAGGGATATCTTTTTTATTAAAATTTATAATTTCTTCTTTTAGTTCAAGAGATATTTCTTCTGATAGAATTTTTGTTAATAATTCTTGATTTGATTTTATAACATTAATTGATAATCCATTCATTTAGACTATAGCTTTCCAATATTCTGCATCTGTGTTACAATTATTAACTATACATTCACATTGCTGTTCTTACTCAGATTCTTAGGTTGAAGATGATTCTTCTTCTTCGGTATCACTATTTATCAAAATTTTATATAACGTTCTTTTTAAACCTTCATCTTCAATTTCTTCAATTTTCTTTTTTGTATAACATCTATTTGCATAATGCCCTGTTTTACCGCACTTATAACAATGAATTTTATTCTTATCTTTTTTAAATTTCTTTTTAGGTTCTTTTTCTTTGGGTTTTTCTTTAAATAATTTCTTTTTCTTTTTAAATAATTTATGTTTATTTTTAGGTTGACTTGATATTTCTTTATCAACCTTATATGGTTGATCATAAGCAAATTGCTCACAAAATTCTCCTAGCTCTTTTCGTTTTGTAAGTCTTTGAGTTTAATTGATTTTTAATTTTAAATTATTGCATAGAGCTAAGCCCTCTTTTATACAAGCATTGGATAAATATCCATATAATAAATTATCATAGGGTATATAACCTCCATACTTAGCTTGAATTTTATTTCGAACTCTTTAGGCAAATAATGTTGGTAAGCCATCAATAAATTTAGTTTTCCAATGTGCACTATTAGCATCAGTTAGAGTCATTACTCTACTAAGATAAGTATCTTTATACCATCTAAAATGGGTTAATGAGGGGCAACGAAAATTTTGTAATAAAGTTCTAATCCTTTCTCCATCATCAAGATATACTCCAGTAAAATAATGTGCTATTGCTAACATTAATGTATAAACAATATCTTCTTGCTGTATACAATTTTCTATTTTTGTAGCATTTAAAAGTTCTTATCTGGCTTCTGGGGACAGATAATTATCCCATCATACTTTAAGGATGCCAGTAAAGCCACATGTAATATAAGAAGCTATCATTTTATCAGTATTACCATTTTGTTTAAAAATTGTAGAGTACATAAGCATTCTATGC